TGTGGCTGCTTTTTAAGGGACGGTGGAAGGGAAAAGCAGGAAAAGGGTCGGGAAGGAAAAGGGGGATGGGAAGGAAAATCCGATCCTAAACTTGACCCAGCCCTGATCCCATCCCAGGGATTTTTTTTTTTCTGGCCTTGGCTGCTGTTCCCAGGGTCGGGGTCGGGGTCAGGGATTGGGGCTGATCGGGGTTTTGATCCATTTATCCCAACTCTAATCCAAAAACCAAATAAAAATCTTCCATTTTTTGAGGTTTTTTCCCAAGATTTTCCCAGGTTGGGTGGGATGAGGGAATTTTTCCCCTCAAACCAAATGGAATTTTTCAGGAATTGCCATCCTAAGAAATTCCCAAATTTGACCAAATCCTCGATTTCCCTGGGGCAGAAACTCAGGAAGGGGCGAAGCTTTGAGGCAAAAAAACTCAAAAAAAAATTAAACAGAGCTTAAAAAATTTTTAAAAATTAATTAAGAATGAACAAATCCACCCCAGGGCCAGGAAAATCCTGGGATTTTCCTGGGGAGGGACAAAAATTGCCGAGGAATTCCCCCAAAGTGGCCCCAGACAAAGGCCAGGGTGATAAATGGGGGTTTGGGGTTAGGCCGGGGTTTAGGCCCCGTTTTATCTAAGCCGGGTAAACAGCTCATTAATCCCGAGACTAAATGAGGTGGGAATGCAAATATCGGGGGGATAAGGGCAGGGGAGAGCCGAGGGGAAAGGAAAAAGAGGAAAAATGGGATTTGGTTGGTAGGGGTGGAAAATAAAAATGGGATTTGTTTTATACGGGATGGAGGAAAAAATGGGATTTGTTTTATTGGGGAGGAGAAAATGGGATTTGTTTTATTGGGGAGGGGGAAAATGGGATTTGTTTTACTGGGGAGGGGGAAAATGGGATTTGTTTTATTGGGGAGGGGGGAAATGGGATTTGTTTTATTGGGGAGGAAAAAATGGGATTTGTTTTATTGGGGAGGGGGAAAATGGGATTTGTTTTGAAATATTTTAAAGGGTTTGGAAGGATTTTTAAAGATTTTAAAGGATTTTGAAGGTTTTGGAAGGATTTTAGAGAGTTTGGAACTATTTTAAAGGATATTTTTGACGGTTTAGAAGGGTTTAAAGGGTTTTAGAGAGTTTTGGACTATTTTAAAGGATTTTAAAGGGTTTTTAGGATTTTTGAAGGGTTTTAGAGAGTTTTGAAATATTTTAAAGGATATTTTTGAGGGATTGGAAGGGTTTAAAGGGTTTTAGAGAGTTTTGAAATATCTTAAAGGATTTTAAAGAGTTTTAAAGGTTTTTGAAGGGTTTTAGAGGGTTTTGAAATATTTTAAAGGGTTTTTAAGGTTTTTGAAGGGTTTTAGAGAGTTTTGAACCATTTTAAAGGGTTTTAAAGATTTTTGAAGGGTTTTAGAGAGTTTTGAACCATTTTAAAGGGTTTTAAAGATTTTTGAAGGGTTTTAGAGAGTTTTGAACCATTTTAAAGGGTTTTAAAGATTTTTGAAGGGTTTTAGAGAGTTTTGAACCATTTTAAAGGGTTTTAAAGATTTTTGAAGGGTTTTAGAGAGTTTTGAACCATTTTAAAGGGTTTTAAAGATTTTTGAAGGGTTTTAGAGAGTTTTGAACCATTTTAAAGGGTTTTAAAGATTTTTGAAGGGTTTTAGAGAGTTTTGAACCATTTTAAAGGGTTTTAAAGATTTTTGAAGGGTTTTAGTAGGGTTTAAAGGGTTTTAGAGAGTTTTGAACTATTTTAAAGAGTTTTTAAGGTTTTTGAAGGGTTTTAGTGAGTTTTGAACCATTTTAAAGGGTTTTTAAGGTTTTTGAAGGGTTTTAGAGAGTTTTGAACCATTTTGAAGTGTTTTAGGGAGTTTTCAACCATTTCCAAGGATATTTCTGAGGGTTTGGAAGGGTTTCAAGGGTTTTTAAGGCTGCCACCGGCCCCGTGGCCGCTCCAGCCCTCTCCCATCGCGCCCTTCCCGCACACCCCATGCATCAGGTGTTTATCGGGAATTCCGCAGCTCTTCCCCGGTTTTGGAAGGAGTTCAGAGAGCACCGGGACTTCCCCTGCCCTAAATTTGCTCCTCCCTGGCTTCCGGTGCCTCCCGGCCCCAAAATCAGGGCTGGAATAATCCCAAAAGCCATCAGTTCCCAGTTAAAATAAACTTCCCGTTTCTCCCCCAAATTCCAGAGGATTTTTTTGGGATTTTATGGCTTTGATCCTCTGCGGGGCAAGGCCGGAGCAGCTCCCTTCAACTGATTAATGAATGAATGAATTAATGATTAATTAATTAATCAGGAGGTGTTTGGGGGATTTGGGATGGTTGTCTCCGGTGGGAGATATCCCTGTCCATGGCACGGGGTTGGAATTGGGGGATTTTTAGGGTTTTTCCCACCCCAAACCGTTCTGGGGTTTCTGAGTCAAACCACCCAGACCCCACAGCAGCATCCAATGGATAAACGGGATCCAAAGGACAAAATTCCCTAAATCCAGCTCAGTCCTTCCTTCCCGCACCTCTTGGGGCAGCTGAAGGTTCTTTGGGATTATCCAGGACAGGAAAAGGAGGGAAAATCCCAAAAAATTGCCCAAACCCAGCAGGTTCCTGGCTGGGAAGGTGCCACAGTGAGGGGGAAAACCTGACCCCAAATCGATCCCGACCCCCAATCAATCCCGACCCCAAATCATCAATCCCGACCCCAAATCATTAATCCTCACCCCAAATCATCAATTCTGAGCCCAAATCAGTCCCGATGGATGGGACATGTCTCTGGGGTGGGACGGGTTTATTTGGGATGTGTTTGTGGGATGGGATTGGTTTGGGATGTGTTTTTGGAGGATTTGGGGTTTGAGGGAGGATTTGGGGACTGGGTTTGGGTTCTTTGATGGGGTTTGGGGATAAAATGAGAGGACGAAGCGGCGTGATCCTGGCCAGGAGTGTTCCCAGACCCCATTCCCAAGGCCTGTTCCCATTCCCAAGGCCCAATCCCGTTCCCAAGGCCCGATCCCAAAGCCTGTTCCTGTTCCCAAGTCCCGATCCCGTTCCCAAGGCCTGTTCCCAAAGACCGATCGCGATCCCAAGGCCCATTCCCATCCCAAGGCCTGTTCCCAAGGCCCGTTCCCAAGGCCCGTTCCCATTCCCAAGGCCTGTTCCCAAAGACCAATCCCGTTCCCAAGGCCCATTCCCGTTCCCAAAGCCCGTTGCCGTTCCCAATGTCTGTTCCCATTCCCAAGGTCCATTCCCATTCCCAAGGCCCGTTCCCAAGGCCCAATCCCATTCCCAAGGCCTGTTCCCGTTCCCAAGGCCTGATCCCAAAGCCCGATCCCATTCCCAAGGCCCATTCCCGTTCCCAAGGCCCAATCCCATTCCCAAAGCCCGTTGCCGTTCCCAAGGCCAGTTCCCATTCCCAAGGCCCGATCCCTTTCCCGTTCCCAAGGCCCGATCCCAGCGCGCGTGGCCCATTCCCGTTCCCAAGGCCCGTTCCCATTCCCAAGGCCCGTCCCCATTCCCGTTCCCAAGGCCCGTTCCCATTCCCAAGGCCCGATCCCAGCACGCTCTCCCGGGCGCGCTCCCGACCCCGCGCGCTCCCGGCCGGCCCCACACGGGGGCGCTGCAGAATTCCGGAGCCACCACCGCGCCCGGGGAGACCGCGGGACCCCCCCAATAAACCCAAACCCACCAAATAACCCCAAACAGACCCTAAAACCACCAAATAAACCCTAAATACACCAAATAACCCCACACGGATCCTAAATACACCGAAATAACCCGAATTAGACCCTAAAAACACCAAAATAACCCCAAACAGACCCTAAAACCACAAAAATAACACCAAATAGATCCCAAGCGCACCAAAATAGCCCCAAATGCACCAAATAGACACCGATGGATCCAAAAAATCCCAAATCCACCTGAACAGACCCCGACAGCCACGGGCAGGTAACCCCAAATCACGCAAATAGCCCCAAATCATGCAAATAACCCCAAAGAGCCCCTGACAGACACAGAAGGACCCCCCAGACACACGGACACCCCAAATATTCCCTGACAGCCCCAAAAATCCACTGGTACCCCAAAATGTCTCCCGAGACACATGGACACCCCCCGAGATCCAGTGACACCTCCGGGCACACCCCAATATCCACGGAGAGCCCCAAAAATCCCCCAATAAACACAGACACATCCAAATCTCCACTGAGCAACGGGAATAAAGGAATATCCAAAGGGATAAATCAATATCCCAAGGGGCGTTGATCAATATCCCAAGGGATAAAACCATATCCAACGGGATTAATCAATATTGAAAGGAAACAGAGGGATATCCAAAGGGATCGATCAATATCCCAAGTAATAAATCAATATGCAAAGGGATATATCAATATCCAAAGGGGTTGATCAATATCCACAAGGATATTGATATCAATATCCAAAGGAAACAGAGGAATATCCAAAGGGATGGATCAATAACCAATAGGATAAATCAGTATCCAAAGGGATTGATTGACATCCCAAGGGATTGATCAATATCCCAAGGGATCGATCAATATCCCAAGGGATTGATTCTCAGGAGGAATCCAAGCCAGGAAAATCCTGTCCCAGGGGATTTTCCCCAATCCAAACTCCTCCAGCTCCCAAATTCCAGGGGTTTTTGGGAGAGCACCGTCCCAAATCCAACCTGCTCCAGTGAAAAGCAGGATTTAATAAATTTGGGAATTCGGGAAGTTGGGAAAAGCCACATGATCAATCCCAAAGAAAACAGCAGCAAGGTAAGCGAGGAATAGCTGGAATTTCAGGAATATTATCCAGAATTTTCACATTTCGTGGGAATGGATGAGGTGCTAAAAAACCCCAAAATCTCCTCCTGAATTATGGGATGGATGGAAAACCAAAGGATTCCGGGTTTATCTTTGATCTTCTCCAGAAGATAAAATCCCAACAATTCCAAGACACTTCAGCGACATTGCAGAATTCCAAGAAATTTTCCACAACAGAATTCCCAAAAAATCAGGACTCACCCTCATCCTGGAATTCTGTCGGGAACGAGGCCGGAGAAATCCGGGAAGGGCCAAAATTCCAGCTGGGATTTTCCTCGGAGCCGTCATGTCCATCATGCTCGTCCCCTCCTGGATGGGGGTGATGAGGAGAGGTTGAATTTTGGGAAAATTTTTGGGAATTTAGGAATTCCTAACCCCAAATATCCCAGTTTCCTCCTGGTTCCCTCCAAAATCCAAACTGATTTTTGTGGGATTTCAGGGGTTTTAGGGTCAAGGCAGGGAATTCCTGCTGGAAAAACCTTCCCATGCCAAAATTCCAGAGGCAAATCCAAATTCTTGGCCCTGTCCTCAGGTTGTGACCTTCTCATAAATCCACTTGTAAAATAAAGATTTACGCTAAAACGGGGGATTTCCCAGGATTTTAGGGAAGAAGAGCTTGGAAATCCTTCAGGAGAGGGAAAAAGGATAAACCCATTAATTTCCTACATAAATTTACAGGGAAAAGGATAAAAACATGGATTCCCTACACAAATGTGCGGGGAAAAGGATAAAAACATTAATTGTCTGCACAAATTATAAGGGAAAAAGGACAAAACCATGGATTTCCTACAAACAAATTACCCCATCAGGGTGTGGAAAGGATCTTTCCACTCCTGAAATTAACCTTATATTGAATTTTCCAGGGAATTTTCCTGCTGCTCTTGGATTTTCTGGAGAGGCCGCTCAGTGCCAGGTGCTGAGATGGCTTTTCACGAAAACCCAGCGGCGATAAAAGATTTCTAATTCGCTATTAAAAGGTTTTAAATCCAACATTAAAAGGTTTTTAATTCAATGTTTGTTCTGGACCACGCGCGCGGGGCCGGGGCCGATAAGGGAGCGGGGGCAGCTGCTCCTCACTCAGCGCCCTCCAAACAGCCCCAAAAAGGAATTTCCGGCTGTTCCTCCGGCGTTTTCCAAACCAAGCTGGGCTACAAAATGATCCTAAAGCAATAATTCCCATTTTTAGGGAAAAAATGGGAATCGTAAAAACAAAAAAGTGGGACGATAAAACGATCCAGCATCAATAATTCCCATTTTTAGGGAAAAAATGGGAATCGTAAAAACAAAAATGATCCAGCATCAATAATTCCCATCTTTAGGGGTGGTTCCAAGCTCTGCTCAAATCCATGGAAATGGAGCTGCTTCGTTTTCCTTAACGCCGAGAATATTCCGGAATATTCTGCAATATTCCAAAATATTCCTTCAGGAGCCACCCAAAATCCCACAGCCCCTGCTCCGTAAAAAGCCAATCCCATCATTTTTCCATTTGGATTTGCATCCTGAGGATTTCTCATGCTTTTAATCCACTTTTTCCATTAAAAAATTCTGATTTGCTGCTTCCCACGGAGGGATAAAAAAAGGGAATTAATGAATCCCAGGAAAAAACAAACAATTTCCATGGATGACAGGAAAAACCCTTCATTTCCCGCAGCTTTTTATGGGAATTGCAATTAAATTTCCTTGGCTTGATCAGGTACCCAGAGCTTCATTAAACATCTCTTAAATCCCAGGAAAATCAATGCCAGGAGAGCTCCAGGTGGGATTTTATGAGGAGCGGAAGTGAAATCCCTATTTTTTTTACCTCAAAATCCAAATTTTTTACCTTAAAATCCTAATTTTTTGCCTTTAAACCCTGTTTTTCCATTCCATCCATCCCCAGCTTACCCCACCACAATCATCCCCCAAAAAATTCCATATAAACCCAAATTGTTCCACCATCATTTTTTTTTCAGGATGCGATCTCACCCAGAAATCCCAAAAATTCTTCCCCATATCCATAAGGAGCCGATTTCCCAAATTTTCCAAATTTCCACCCCGAGCTGCTGGACATGGAATCTGCTCCAAGCAGAATTCCATATAAACCCAAATTGTTCCACCATCATTTTTTTTTCGGGATGCGATCTCACCCAGAAATCCCAGAAATTCCTCCCCTTATCCATAAGGAGCCGATTTCCCAAATTTTCCAAATTTCCACGCCGAGCTGCTGGACATGGAATCTGCTGCAAGCAGATTTTCTTTCTTTTTTTCTTTTTTTTTTTTTTAGGTTTTATTTGGTTTTTTGTTTTATTAATTACACGTAATAAAGCGAATTCCCGGCGCCCTAAAAATGCCGAGAAAATGGAAAACTCCTTGGGATTGAGGCTTTTCCTGGATTTTTTTTGGGCTGGAGCTGCTGGAGCTTGCAGTGATTGCCAGCGCCCAGCAGGTCGGGCTGCAAGGCAGCAGCAGCCGGGAATGCGCCGCTGGAATTTCACTGCCATCCCCTCCCCCAGGCACGGAAAAAATTTATTATGCATAAAATACATTATATATTTTTATATAATTTAAAATATATTTTTATATATAGACTATAGAATATATCTAATACATAAAATTGTAAAAATTATTTTTATTTCTTTCCATCTCCCCCGTGTTTTGACATCTCCCGAGCCGGAGTTTCGGTGTTTATAAACAGAGGAATTCCAGGGCCGGAGATTTGAACAACGCCTTCCAAATCTCGTCAATCCCAAAGGTTTTTTCCTGCTTTTCCCCAAACACTTCATAAATCTAAGCCGGGTTTGGGAGCCTGAGCCCAGCTCAGCAAAGCCGGAGCCTCCCGGCATGAGCCAAAAAGGGTTTTTTATAAATAAAACTTCCTAAAATCACCCAGCACTCCATTAATTCCCGGACACTCCGGATCGGCTTCAAAGGGAATCTTTGCAGCAAAAAAAGGAATTTTGGGGTTTTTTTGTTGTTTTAATGATTTGCTACTTGGCCTTGTCATAACTACATGGAGCAAAAAGGCGCTGGCGGGGAGAGGGTTGGGGAAACGCGAAGTTCCGGCTCCCAGGCAGCTGCAGCTCTGTGGATTTGGGGTTTTAGATGAAAAAAGGGTTGCAAAGGTCTGGGTTTGGGGTTTTTTTGGGGTTTTTTTGGGTTTTTTTTGGGATGTTGCTCCCGAAGGGAGAGGAAGGGGATGGACGTGGTGGCGGCTCCGCCACGACTCCAGCAGGATGGAGTTTTATTCTGAGGCAGAGTGAAAAAAAAGGATCAGAAAATGGATAAAAGGGAATCAAATGATCCCACAAAATTATCCCAAAAAAGTCACACCAAAAAATGAGACCAAAAATTGATAAAATATCGCCTAAACTGGGCCTACGATGAGGTGAGGCCTACTGAGGCCTACTGAGGCCTAAGGGCCTACTCCAATTTTCTCTTTGTTAATGAATCATTTTAATTAACAAAGCTCCCAGTTTTTAAATCACAATTCATCCCACTTCTTTTGATTATTCCTGAAGGAAGTCAGAATTTTCTGGGGTTAAGGCACGGAGCTGGGACAAGCAGGAGTTCTGGGTCCAACCCCTGCCGACGCACATTTTTTGAGCCTCAATTTTCTCAAATTTCATAAAAATGGAAGAGCCTTCCTCCCTCTCCTCAATGTTTTGACTATTTATGAATATTTTAAGGAATTCTGCTGATCAGCAGTTCAGGGAAAGCCATTTGGGATGAATTTTGGACGGAAAAATAAAAGCGTCGTCATCAGCTCCGTGCAAATAAATCTGGGTTTATTCATCTACTTGGGTTTGGTGTTTTTTTTACAAAATAAAGGGGAAAGTCGTTGCTTTCCAAAAGCTCCTTCCAACCCAAACCATTCCCTGACTCCCTGATTTTTTTTGTCTCTCAGGAGCTCAGGGAACCTCTCCTCGCAGACCCTCAGAGTTGGAAAATGAGACCGTGGTTTTCCCATTTTCCCAATTTCCCTTGGGATACCTGGCCAGGTGTTCCCTGAGCACTCCAAGGACTCATTCCCCCTAAAATTCCCAGTGGATGCAGCAGGAATTGGAAGCGAGCTGGGCACTCCTCTTCCATATCCCGATTTTCCTACTTTTCCTTCAGCTCCCGACTCCATCAAAAGAATATTCCAAGGAACAAAAGGCTCCCTCCTCCTCCATCCTTGAAATTCCATGAACCTTCCTGGTTTAAAACCCTCATTTGGAGCCTTTGATGAGCTCGGATCTTCCCTCCCTCCTATTTTTTTGTTAATTTTCCGCCCAGCTGTCCGTTGGTCTTTTCCAAAGGGTGCCAGATGCTGGATTCATGGGGAAACAATGCTTGGGAAGCAATTAAAGCTCCGAGGCTCTGATTGAAACGGGGAAACGCCGTTCCCGGTGGGAATTGCGAGGCTGCTGCGTTCCTGGCCTTTCCAGGAGGGGCTGGAAGCGAGCCCTGAGCGGGCAGGGAACCGCTGGAATTTGTTCCTGGGGAAAAGAGGGATCGGAGGAGCTGGAATGCCGGGAAGGGATTTATTCCTGGAATAAAGGATCAGAGGAATTGGAATGCTGGGAATGGGTTTAATTCCTGGAGTAAAGGATTGGAGGAGTTGGAATGCTGGGAATCGGTTTAATTCCTGGAATACAGAATTGGAGGAGTTGGAATGCCAGGAAGGGATTTTATTCCTGGAATACAGGATTGGTGGAGCTGGAATGCCAGGAAGGGATTTTATTCCAGTAGCTCCCACCTTGGTGTAACTCCGGGAGATCCCCATGGATCCCAAGTATTTTTTAAGGAAAAACCACAAATCCACCAATCCCTGAGCTGCTCCCAAGGCTCTGAATCGGGAATTCCATCCCTGGATCCAGCAGAGCCAAAGGAGCTCCAGCTCAGCTCTGAGAGGTCCCACACCCACCGATTGTCCCAGAGATCCAGAATTCCCTCCTGCTGACCCTCAGGAATCCTGGGAAGTTCAAATCCTCACTCCCACAATGGAGGAATTGAGGAGCAAAGCCAAAATTTCCCAAATTTTTAACAAGGAATGGTCATTCCCGGAAAATTCCCATCCTGATCCTGGACTCTGCTTCCACTCCAAGCTCAGGGAAATTGAGGGATCCCACAGAATCTTTTCTCCCAATCAGTTCTCCATGGGAATACGCTGCCCTTTCCAAGCTTCCCAAACATTCCTAAATTCCTGGAGTTTCTGGAAAACTTCTCAGCCTGGGAATCGACGCCAGAGCCCCAGAAATTGTGGGATTTGTTCTCTGGGATGAGATTCCTGGTGAGGAATTTTCCCACCCCAAGACCTGCCCCCCACATCCATAAGGACTCTTTTTCCTGGGAATTTGGCGCACGGAACATCCCCCGCTCCAACCCTTCCCAGCTGGACTCACCTCGGGATGGGAATTCCAGGTGGTACCTGAAAAACCAAATGGAAAAAGAGCCATAAAATCCCAGATTTTCCTCCAGGATTATTCCAGCCTGAAGAATGAGGGATGGGTGGGAGAATCTGGGAAAATGGGGAATGGGAAACACGAGGAATTCCAGGAGGAATTCTGATGGGCCAGCCCTGAAGAACTGGGAATGGATGGGATTTAAGCCTTTCCCAACTCTAATTCCATGGATTTCCATCCCTTGGAACAGATCCTTCTCCAAACACAAAAATTCCTGCCACCTTTTTCCCCTCAAATCCTTTAAAAGTCACCACTTCCAACCCCAAAATATTCCAGGAGTTTTTGCTGTGCTCATGGAAGTGGAGGGTGATCCACGCTCTGCCCATTCCCCCCACAAAAACAAAACAAAAAAAAAGGTTTAATATAAAAAAATCAGGATTTGTTCCTCTCTCCCACTTCAGGAAAATCTTGGGAATCATTTTAATCCAGGAATGGCACCAGGAAATTTGGGAATCCCACCAAGGGTTGGGAATAAAGCACAAAGTGCCCATTCCAAGATGAGCTCTGGTCGCAGGGAGAAAATTTCCCAGAATATTGGGTGGGAAGAGCCTTTTGGAGGAAAAATTGGGATTTTTTCGGGATGCTTTTGGGGTTGGTTCCCCAATTCCACAAGGAATTTTTTCTCCATCCTGTGGCTGCTCCATTTTATCCCAAAATCCTCAAAATCCAGCCCCACATGAAGGCAAACGGAAAAGCAGCTCCAGCTTTTTTCCCATATTTTATCTTTAAATTCCAACATTTCCATGGAAAATCCCAATTATCCATTATTTAGCAGAAAAACATCATCTCTAAGAGATACCTCAATTCCAAAAAATCCAACTTTCCAAAAATTCAGGGTATTTCTGTCTCCTGGACAAAGAAGAGCAGCAAAAATCCCTTTTTTTTCCCTTTTTTTTCAGGGAATTTTTGCCTCAGGCGCTTTTCCCGGCCACGTTTTAGCGCCAACATTTCCTGAATGATTTTCTGTCACTCGCAATTCCCGCTCAGTGAAAGCACCGGGGCTTTGTTCCCGACCTCTGTCATTTTTAATCCCAGGAAATGGCCTAAAAAAAAATGGGAAAATTGAGTTCCGTTCCCTCCCGGAGCAGCTCCGGGGAGGCAGATGGAAAACGCAAAAAAAGTCTTGGATTTTCCTGCTTTTTTTTTTTCATTCTTTAGGATAAAAAACCAGCAAAAAAAATCTGATTTCGGCTCAAGGATTTGGTTTTAATTCCATGGTTGGATCGTTTTTACTCTGGGAAGGAAAATTTTGGGATAAAATGGAGTTAGGAATAAGGGGAGGAGAATTTTTTTGGGAATGTGGAAGAGTCATGAGCTCATTTCTGCCTCTGCCAACAGAAATCTTGGATAAGTCCCATAAATTGTGGATTTTGGGAGCCCTTGGATTTCCAGGAAGTTCCCCCACAGAATTTTGCCCTTTTCCCAATATTTTCCCCTAAATTTGGTGTTTCCCCCACCCCTTCCTGCAGAAAACTTCATCCCAAATCCTGTTTTTCCAATATATTCTTGGATTCTTGGGCCTGCAACACCCAAAAAATGCAAAAATTTGGGCAAATTTGGGTTCAAGGGGATTTGAGCAGCTGGAAAATCCCAAAATCCAAACCCTCTGAGCCGGATCCATAAAATCCAGGTAGCTTCCAATCAAATTCCCAGGTTTTCCTCATTAATTAATTAAATACTCTCAAGGGAAGGGGTGGAGAAGAATCTTTGGAGCCAGGATTTTAATGCCCGGGAAAAGAAATATTTTTTAAAAAATCGATGCTGGACGAGATTTCCAATAGGAAAAAAAAAATGGGAGCCAAGAAAATGGGATTGGGAATTCCCCATTAGGGGAGAAATGGATTTAAATTCATTTTTCAGCTCACTTGAGGCTCTCAGATTTCAGGTTAATGATGGATCCAGGAGGAAATGGATGGGAAAATTGGGATAATTCCATCAGCCGGGCTGGGAAAGGCTGGAAAATTCCGGAAAGGAACAACCCAGAAGGCTCCAAACGGAATTAGTGGTGGGAGCGAGCTCGGGGATAAAAGGAGGTGAAAATGGGATTAATTTAATTTGGGTTAATATGAGAAATTCCTTCCTTAAAAGAAAAAGAGGGGAGAGAATCTCCATCCGGAATGAAGCAGGAATATCCGAGAATTTTTTCCCTAAAAAAGGGGAGGAAAGTCCCCATCCTGAAATTAGGGAATTAATGCGGAATATCCCAGAATTCCTTCCTTAAAAAAGGAGGAGAATCCTCATCTGAAAATAGGGAATAAATAAGGAATATCCCAGAACTCCTTCCTTAAAAAAAGAGGAGAATCCTCATCTGAAAATAGGGAATAAATAAGGAATATCCCAGAACTCCTTCCTTAAAAAAGAGGGGGAAAATCCCCATCCTAAACCAGAGAAAATCCAACCACAAAACAACGACATTTCCTCAGAATTCCCCCATTATCCTGAGTCTGGAATATCCACCAAATCCCAACCCACGGGGGAATTCCTGCAGAAGGAGGAGTGCCCAGAACGTGCCGGAATTCCGGAGGTTTGGAGCGGGAAAGGCGGGAGAACCCACCTGGCTCCGAGGCGCTGGAAGGAGCGGAGGATGGCGTCGCGCCGCGCCCGCGCCCGCGCGCTGAGCGGCTCCTCCCGCAAAGCCCGGCTTAGGAAATCCTCGGCCTCTGCAAAACGGGGAATGGGAAAGGGAAAATCAGGGAATCTGGGAAGGGGAAAGGGAAAATCAGGGAATCTGGGAAGGGGAAAGGGAAAATCAGGGAATCTGGGAAGGGGAAAGAGAACATCAGGGAATCTGGGAAGGGGAAAGGGAAAGTCAGGGAAGCTTGGAAGGAGAAAGGGAAAATCAGGGAATCTGGGAAGGGGAAAGGGAAAATCAGGGAATCTGGGAATGGGAAAGGGAAAATCAGGGAAGCTGGGAAGGGGAAAGGGAAAATCAGGGAATCTGGGAAGGGGAAAGGGAAAATCAGGGAATCTGGGAAGGGGAAAGGGAAAATCAGGGAATCTGGGAATGGGAAAGGGAAAATCAGGGATACGCGGCCTTGGAGAGGGAAAGTGGGTGTGGGAAGGGGCGAGGAAATCTGGGAAGGGGAAAGGGTTCAGGAAATATGGGAAAGGGAAAATCAGGGAATCTGGGAATGGGAAAGGGAAAATCAGGGATACGCGGCCTTGGAGAGGGAAAGCGGCCATGGGAAGGGGCTAGGAAATCTGGGAATGGGAAAGGGTTCAGGAAATGTGGGAATGGGAAAGGGAAAATCCCTTGGAGAGGGAAAGCTGCCGTGGGAAGGGGCAGGAAACGTGGGAATGGGAAAGGGGTTGGAGAAAGCTGGGACGGGTCAGGAAATCTGGGAAGGGGTTTAGGAAACCTGGATCTGGGAAAGGGTTTAGGAAGTCTAGGCCTGGGAAAGAAACCTGGGCCTGGGAAGGGTCAGGAAATCTGGGAAGGGTCAGGAAAATCAGGGATACATGGGAGGGATGAGGTTTTGGGGGGTTTTGGAGGGGACGGATGAAGATTTGGGGTTTTGGAGGCAGAGGGATGAGGTTTGGGGTGTTTTGGAGGGGACAGATGAAGTTTTGGGGGGATTTGGAGGGGACGGATGAGGTTTTGGGGTGTTTTGGAGGGGACAAATGAGGTTTTGGGGGGTTTTGGAGGCAGAGGGATGAGCTCAGCGCTGCCGCGGCAGGAAATGAGAGCTGAAACCCCAAAAACCACCAAAAGTGATCCCAGCTGCTTCCTCAGCACCAAGTCTGGGGTCCACAGCCCCCACATTTTTGGGGTCAGGGACAGGGAGGCCCCACCACTCCCCAAATTCTCCTCGGGGTCAGGGTCAGGGAGGCCCCAAAACCCCCAAATGTTGGCGGTTGGGGACAGGGAGACCCCAAAGTCCCCAAATTCTCCTCAGGGTCTGGGAATTCCCACCACCCCCCCAAATTCTCCTCGTGGTCAGGGCCAGGGAGGCCCCACAACCCCCGAAGACCCCAAAGCACCCCAAAAAAGGTCCCCCCAAACCCTCCCCGGCTCCGCCCCACAGCAGGACTCCCCCGCGGGGCAGGAAGGGGGTGAGGAGGGATCCGTTACCTTCCAGGAGCCCCTGGATCTCCTGTGGGATCGGGGCATCCATGGGATCCTCTGGGATCTTCGGGATCCCCTCCCCCGGGGCCGCGATCGCTGCGGGGTGACGGCGAGGAAGCCGCGAGGGCGGGGACACCCCAAAACCGAGGAGGAGGAGCCTTTGGGGTTTGGGTTCCTCCTCCTTTTACACCCCAGCAGATCCCCGGGATCGTCCCCAGACGTCCTGGGTGATCCCAAAAACTCCAGGTGGGAAAAGCTGAGCTCCGGCCAAGGAGCTCCACCTGGAATTCCCAGCTGGAATTTCCTCCCGGACCTCACCTGGAGTCTCCCCGGGCTGTTCCTGCCCCCAAAATTGGGATTTTTCCAGGTTTTCCCACCCAAAAATTCCCATGGGGAAAAAAATGGGGATGTTCTGGGATGAAATTTTCCCATTTTCTGCACGGAAAAGAGCTCGGGTTGGGAAAATAATCGCCTGGGATGGGGAAAAGATGGAAAAGCTCCTGGAAATTTGGAGTTTTCCACATGGAAATATGGAAAATACTCCTGGAAATATGGAAAATATTCCTGGGAATTTGGAAATTTCCACATGGAAATACTCCTGGAAATCCGGAGCTGCTCCTCCAGGTGCTCCTGGGCGGTTTGGGACCCCCTTTTTTGAGAAATAAAGGAAAAAATTCTAATTTTTTTTCATTTCTCAGCACAAACCAGACACGGAGCAGGTGCCAGAAGGATCTCGAGTCTTTGGGCTCAGAATTTGGGGTCCTGGAGCCAAAGAAGAAACCCCAAAGCAGCTCCAGGGTTCTTTTGGGACCATTTTGGGTTGGGACCTGCAGGGCCAGCCCCTCATAAATCCCATTTTTTCAAAGAGGGGGATTTTATGGATTTCCTGGAAAACTCCCTGCTGGATTTTGGGATTTTGGGACTTTGGTTTGGGGACAGAAGGAGCACGGGGGGATTCTCCAGATCTGGGACCCGAAACCTCGGAGCTGCGGCCGCCACGTCATTTCCAAAGCAGGGACTTTCACATCCAGCATTTCCCAGCCCGTTTTAACCGTTTCTGGCTCGGATTTTAAACTCAGCTCTCGCCCCTCCCCCTTCAGCCTTGTTAGGCTCAGCTCAGCCGCTGCACGGGCTCGGTTTTAGGACCGAAACGGCCCCAAAATGGAACTTTTGCAGCGGATGCTGAGGCCTCAAAGCACAGGAAATGCAGCTCGGGGGCCCTAAGCAGGAGATGGAAAATCAAAATATCACAGGAGCTGCCCCTCCGATCTTTTTGGGGCCTCAAACGCTTTTTGGGGGCAAAATGTGGATTTTTCCCTGCCAATTCCTGCTCCTCAAATCTCCTTGGCCAGGTAGGATCACCTGAGCTGGGAATTAGAGCCAGGAAATAAAAAAAACCAGAAAATAAAAATATCACAGTAAGGGTCTCGGGAAAAGGGATTTGCCCAATTTCCAGGGAAATTACTTTTTTTTTCCCCCTTCTTTTTGCTCTCCCTTCCCTTTTTCTCACCACTTCAATTTTTGGATTTTGGAATGGTCACAAATTTGGAATTGGGACCGGCTGGGAAAGAGAAGGGGGAGTCTGGCACCATCCTTGTCCTGCAGCATCCCAAATTTGGGGATTCTGGATTCAAAACCTCCTCCCCACTGGAGAAAATTCCCACCTGGATCCTCCCAGGTCCCGCAGCCCTGCCGGCATCCTTTGGAAATCCAATTTCCAGGGAAACGGATGCGGGATTGGGCGTTACCATGGAAACGGAGCTGGGGGAAAATGGGAGAGGCAGAGCCCTGCTCCAGTCAGGAATATTGGGAATGTCAGGGGGAAAATGGGAGAGGCAGAGCCCTGCTCCTATTGGGAATATTGGGAATATTGAGGGGGGAAGGAAGGAAGGAAGGAAGGAAGGAAGGAAGGAAGGAAGGAAGGAAGGAAGGAAGGAAGGAAGGAAGGAAGGAAGGAATCCCAGCCCATCTCCAGCCCCTTCCCAGGTTTTTCCAGGTGCTCTGGAGGGAATCTCCTGCGGGAATTTCACTCAGGAGCTCTCGGAGAGCACAAATCGATGGCTCAGGAGCAGAGATCTCCATCTCTGCCATCTCTGTTTTCCTTTCCTTCCTGGAAGCTCTGCCAGGAATCCGCCGCATCCCAGGAAATTCCAGCCCCTGAAACGCCTGGATTTGGCAGGGAGGTGTCGAGGAGGAGCTGTGGAATGTTCTGGGCACACCTGGGGGCTGGAATTCCCATTTGGGATAAATTTAACCCCAAAAGGTGCGGTGGAAGCCATGGGCGGATCCATGCCTGGATCCCCAAATCCTGCGGGAAGAGGAACGGGGCGGGTGGGGCTGGGTTAGGCCGGGCTTTTCCCGCTTGGATCCGCGCTCTGCTGAGCGGGACACAAAGCCGAGCTCGGCGGCGGAGGCAGCGAGCGAGACGGACAGAGTGACACGGGCAGAATGAGCTGTCACCTCCCATTTGTCACCGCTCGGGTGGCGTTGGAGCCGCTCCGAGGAGGATTCCCGCTGCTCCCGAAGGCCCGGAGCCGTTCCGGGCGGGCTCAGCCCGGGTTTATCCGTCCTGGAGCCCCCTCTTGCCGCTCGCCAGGGTTTGCTGTGCCTGGAAAAGCCAGGGGATGGATTTACCGAAGGATCCCGGCAGCCTGGAGAGGGATTAAGGGGGGGATTGTCCCCAAGCAGGGCCAGCACCAGGGGACAGAAATTCCCAAATCTGTCCCAAACCTGCCGGGTTCAGCCCCATTCCCTGCTTGGAAGCTTCCCAGGATTCCAGGAATCTTCCCATGGCAGCTCCAAGGACAGCAGTTCCTGTCCCCAGTCTGTCCCAAAATCCTGAAATCCCAAAATCCAAAAATCCCCAAATCCTGAATCCTGAATCCTGAAATCCAAAAATCCCCAAATCCTGAAATCCCGAAGTCCTGAATCCCGAAATCTCGAAATCCTGAAATCCCGAAATCCTGAAATGCTGAATCCTGAAATCCTCAAATCCCCAAATCCCGAAATCCTGAATCCCAAAATCTTGAAATCCTCAAATCCCCAAATCCTCAAATCCCAAAATCCTCAAATCCCCAAATCCTGAATCCCCAAATCCCGAAATCCTGAAATCCTGAATCCTCAAATCCTCAAATCACAAAATCCTGAATCCCCAAATCCTGAATCCCCAAATCCTGAAATTCTCAAATCCCCAAATCCCGAAATCCCGAAATCCTCAAATCCCGAATCCCGAAATCCCTGCCAGAGGCAGATGTCACCAGTCCTGGTGGCAGGTGACCCCGAGGGCCAGGGCTGATCCCTGAGCGGGTGAAAACCCTGGAAAAACCCAAAGGAAAAGCAGAATTTGACCAACGCCGCCCCGCCCGCATCCGGGCGGGATTAAATTCAATTTGTGACCCTTGGAGCTCTCCTGTCGGGTGTCGTTAGGGAATTCATGGGAATGCTGGGATGCGGATGGGGCCCTGTCAGCTCCGGGGTGGGATTTTCCTGACGTTTCCAGGGATTTTCATTAAAGGCTCGTATTCCAATTTGTCACCAGAGCCGGGCCAGGGGCAGGAGGAACTCAGCGTGACCTCGGCTCGGGGTTTGGGGTGGAATCAGTGGGGAAATCACCCCTGCTGTCCTTTAGGATTGTTTTTCCCGACGGCTGTTCCCTGGGATGGGCTGGGATGGAATTCCCAGGGAATCTGTGCCTGACCCATCCCTGGAATTGTCCTGGGCCAGGTTGGAATTGTCCCAGGCCAGGTTGGAATTGTCCCTGCATGAGCTTCTCCCAAAGCAGGAAAACTCATCCTGATGAGTTTGGAAATGACCTGTGGGAATCTGCGAGGGCTCCGTGTTCCCAAAATTCCTGTTAATGTTCTCAAAATTCCTGTTAATATTCTCAAAATTCCCATTAATATCTGTTATTCCCAACAATTGTTCCCTGGGATGGGCTGGGATGGAATTCCCAGGGAATCTGTGCTTGACCCATCCCTGGAATTGTCCCGGGCCAGGCTGGAATTGTTCTGGGTCAGGCTGGAATTGTCCTGGGCCAGGCTGGAATTGTCCCGGGCCAGGCTGGAGTTGTCCCTGGATGGGACTGGTTGGAATTGTCCTGGGTCAGGCTGGAATTGTCCTGGGTCAGGCTGGAGTAGTCCTGGGTCAGGCTGGAGCTGTCCCTGGATGGGCCAGGCTGGAATTCCAGCTCCTTCCCACCAACCCCCCCATGACTCCGCAATTCCGCAGCTCCTGGCACCGGGATGGGCCCAACCAGGCCCAGCCCGGCCCAGCCCGGCCTAGCCCGGCCCAGCCAGGCCCAACCAGGCCCAACCAGGCCCAACCGCCCCTTCCTGGGACATTCCCGGCTGGAAAGGCTCAGCTGGGGCAGGCTGAGCTCGGGGGGAGGAGGGGCCGCAGTCCCAGCCGGAATTACGGCCCCGGAGCAGGGACCGGGCAGGAATTCCAGCAGCGTTTATTGGGAATTGTCATCACTCCGGCGGGAATCGGATCCAGATGTTGGCAGGGAAATCAGGAAGGTGAAGGGTGGAGATTATGGGGTGGAGGAGCTGTTCCTGGTGATTTATTGGGGCTTAAAATCCACAGGATTTGGGAACGGGGCCGTGTTGATATTTTATTTTATTTTATTTTATTTTATTTTATTTTATTTTATTTTATTTTATTTTATTCATTTTATTTTAAATTTAATTTTAAATTTAATTTTATTTCTTTTTTTTTTTTAATTTTTTTTCCCCAGGACACATTTGGAGTGAAGGAAAGAGAAACTTCCAGATCCATCACCTCTCCTCCAAACCCTTTTCCCCTTATCCCAGACCCAGCCCCAGGGACCTCAGCCCTTTCCCAGAGAATTTGGGATGATGGGAAACTTCCATCCCCACCATCCCCTAACCCCAGCCCCCCCCACATCTGTCCCGAGCCTCTGGATGAATTAATTAATCACTTTGATGAGGATGTTAAAGCTTCTCGCCTAATTAGGGGCTGATTGATGGGTGGCCCCGCGTGTGGCGCTGGCGGTGATTTACACGGAGCTCCGGAATTCCCGGATTTTCCCGCTTTTCCTGCCTCTCCCCACTCCCACCCGGGAGGTCCCGGTG